GACTCAAACTACCCAGAGTTCAGAGGTCACACAAGATGAGAAACACGGGGAAACATCGCTCACCAAATATCATACAAAATAACATCAACAGTGGCAGTCCCTCAGGGGCCGCCACCAAATAAGGTGTAAATTATTTCCCCTGCCTGGTAACCTATAGTTACACTAAGTATGTGTTACATGAAATGGTAGTTTGATGTAGGGTCTAGTCGTTACTAATTAGCAAGCCTGAAATTTAGTGAAATCTTGACCCATGTCCACAGTCGTTGATCTGCGTGCTATTGTACCTAACAGTGTTTTACATCAGTGGGGTCATAACCCCCCCCCCCCCCCATAGACTCCTCGAGATATATATATATATACAAAGTATGAACGTTTGAGGGGAGTGGTGCAAATCGAAAGTTTGAGGGGGGGGGGTGCAAATCGAAAGTTTGAGGGGGGGGGGGGGGGGGTGCAAATCGAAAGTTTGAAGGGGGGAGGGTGCAAATCAAAAGTTTGTCCCCGGGTAAAAATTGGACCCCCCCCCCCCCTTGAGACGATCCTGGCTACGCCACTGTTTTACATCATATCTTGTTTCACACACGTATAGCACATAGGTCGGCAACCATGCGGCTCTGTTGGTGTCACGGTGCGGCTCTCCAGCTCCTTGCACACATATTAAAAGTTATCCTATTTCATTTTCAAAACTCATAACAAAAATTATACTGTAAGGATACACAAGTTTAAACAGAATAAAAACACTCAGCCCTGTTACAACAATTCCATGCTTGCCACTGCCCAAGTGCCGACTTTTTTGAATATCGTTAATTGGAGAATGTTAATTTAGAATGCATTTCCCTATCCGTCAGTAATAATTAGTTTGACGTGAGTGACGTAGTTATTATTAGCTTCCTAATGTTGAGTCGGGTGCAAGACGGTGGGGTACGAGTTTACCCTGGGCTCTGTGGGGTGGAAGATAGGCCTGATGAGAACCAAAGGACAGAAGCGACCGATACACGGTACTCAAATCGATATCCAAGCCAACTAGTCGGAATTTGACGTATTGAGGTCTTACTGGCTAATGATAGACACCTGAACCGGTGTTATCCTTTTATTAAAAAAAAACAATCAGCTTCTAAAGTGGATTGGGATATCCCTACAATTATGTTATTAACATAAAATATTTTATTATTCAGCCGAAACGTGTCTGTTTTTATATAAATTAGTATTATTTCATATTTAAATCTTTGTTTTCAAATACTCACTCGTATATTGATTTTCTCGAGTTATTACACACTTGTAGGCCTATATTGATTTTCTCGAGTTATTACACACTCGTAGGCCTATATTGATTTTCTCGGGTTATTACACACTTTTATATTGATCTTCTCGAGTTACTACACAATCGTTGTATCAGTTTGTTCATACTGATGTGTTATGAATTTTCAAATTATGGGTCCATTAACAATTCCCCAAAATTAAGTGTTTTGAACGGAGACAAATTTTGAAAATTCATAGTAAATTATTTTGAAGATATGCATTTAACATTTTTAGATGAGTACTCCAACATTTGGAAGAAGATTAAGAATTCATTATTTATTTGGCATAAAATATAATATTTTATGAATGGTGGAAAACCTACGAGAGTGTTAATTTTTCAAGATGGCCGCCGTTGTCATAGTTACTAAGATTTTTTCACAATTTTTTTTAGTGGAAATGCATATGCATTAATAAAGCTGTAAAGAAATAACTGTTTTATAACGAGTATTAAAACATTTTTTTTTACCGGTGCCTCCCCCCCCCCCTTAAAGTATGTATTTAATATTCTTTTATTCAGTTACTATTTAAAAAAAAACCGTTGTTATTCTACTCTTGTCTACATGTATTAGTTGGTCGGCTCGTTAGTTTAGGTTTGCCTGTCGTCCCTTCTGGGACATAGGCCGCTGACAAGAGCTTTCCAGACGTCTATGTCCAGGGCTAGTTTCTCCAACTGTCCCCAGTTGTATCCAATCTTCTTGGTGTCTTCTTCCAGGTCACGTCTCTAGGTGTTTCTTGGTCTGCCTCTCCTCCTGATGCCTTGTGGATTCCAGGCGAGGGCCTGTCTTTTTATGCTGGATACAGGCTTCCATTTCCATTTTCTCTGAAGGATCTCTACTTAAACATGCATTTGATTTGTCCGTTGCCATAGAACGTCATTTCTGATGGTTTTAGCCAGCAAATTAGCAGGATCTTTCTAAGGCATGCGTTAATAAATGATTGTATTTTCTTATTATTTATAGCAGTTATTCTCCATCTCTCAGCGCCATAGAGTAAAACAGGGTTTACTTGTGTTGGCCGGCTCGTAGTTTATCTTATCTGTTGTCTTCGAAATTATGTATGTATTGACTGAGTTTTGAACTAAGACTCGATTTAAAGATGACATTGACAGCTTTGTCTGCATGTTTAAATACGTCATAGTTAATCAAACTGGAGATCTAAAGACGGCCGTCGCAATCAGTTTGTCGTCGTTATCTAATACGACTCAAGTCTTGTTGATTTCATCACATGTATTAGTTTTTTTTTCCTTTTTTTATCGTAAGATGGTCTTTAGTATTTGCTTTGCTAATTGAATTGTACTACATTAAAAAAAGTGTTTAACAGTTTCGTGTATGTTTTGTTTGCAGGTTTGGCATGTATTTTTAATGTTGTTTTTTTTGTGTGTTGCGTGAGATTGGAGTTGTGTTTATTAACACATAGCTGATCTCGTCATTTAGGTGCTATTGTTGTTTTAATGTAAATGTGTGAGGGTGCCGCTTATATCCATTGCATTGTACTCTGTGGTCCATTTAATCCTATTGTATACTGTGGTTGCTTTATTAAAAAAAAAAATTAAAATATGTTTTGCGATCGTTTCTGGGTATTGTGTAGCCGTGATAAAACATAACATTTTCTTGTATTAATATATATTAGTCCAAAACTTATTACGTTTGCATTATTTACTTATATTGTGTACAATTCATCACAAGTATGCAACTGTTTATCTTTTTTTGTATTACCTAATAGGCAATTTTATGTAACTATATTAGATTAAAACTCTATTTCAAACTAATTTTAAAATCTGTTGTAGTAGTGTGCTTCCCTTTAATATATTTATAATTATCTATTTTAATTACACATGTTAATAATCTATAAAAGTTAGAAAATTATTTGGGTGGATAGTTAAACAGTTACTTTGCTTTTTATTGTATCATTTCAGGTATTCAATAATAGAAATCTAGAGTGGCAATACATAATTATGGCTGTAACAAACTTGTTTTACCATCTCAAGTTATCTTACTACTTTGTTCATCCTTGTTACTTATGTATTGACTTTGTGGAACTTGCTAAACACATTGTTGGGAAAAATACACAATATAACATTCTCTTTTGCATTGTGAAACCTAGACACCTCAGCAGCAAGTCGTTCTTGTGTGTACTTACTTGAATCCAATGTTTTGTTTTAGAATAGGCTATCTGAGTGTGTGTTGTAGAACTGGTGTCTATTTAAGATATTTACTGTTCTGTGTAGGCGTGGTTTAAAGCTACAAAATGTTCGTTGTATATATTTATTTTTACACGGATCTACTCCTACTTATGTCTATTCCCTGGTTACCAAGCTCTGTCACTAAGGGTCCGTGGGTAACGTGGTCTGTAGGTGCGTAGGTAACGTGGTCTGTAGGCCCGTAGGTAACGTGGTCTGTAGGTCCGTAGGTCCGTAGGTACGTGGTCTGTAGGTCCGTAGATCCGTAGGTAACGTGGTCTGTAGGTCCGTAGGTCTGTAGGTAACGTGGTCTGTAGGTCCGTAGGTCCGTAGGTAACGTGGTCTGTAGGTCCGTAGGTCCGTAGGTAACGTGGTCTGTAGGTCCGTAGGTCCGTAGGTAACGTGGTCTGTAGGTCCGTAGGTCCGTAGGTAACGTGGTCTGTAGGTCCGTAGGTCCGTAGGTAACGTAGATCCTCTGATCTAAGGATACAACGGTCTTTCCCTACAGGCCCTTGCCTACTATAGGATGTCCCTATATATCCATTGCTACTAGTGTGTTTCTGTGAGATAGTAAGATAGTGTATGTATGTTTTCACGGCTGAATGACTTTAGGGACCACGTGTCGGGTATCGGGTTTTAATGCAAATATTATTTTTAATAGTGTCATTTGTAATTAGAACGTATAACTAAAAACGTGAAATAAAGCAAATATAAAACAAATTTATAATCATAAGTTTAAAAGCAAATTGAAATAAGAAAAGATAATAGCTATTTTATAATAAAAATCTTTTGTAGTTAAATTGTGTAATGCATTCAGTTACTGACAGGACAATGAATTATGACCAACAGTCGGCCATTATATAGAAGAATCGCACATCTAGATTTACGGTTGCTTAGTGATGACGAAGCCGCCATGGAACACAGGGCGCCAAACCGTTTGTTTCCGAATATCGCACCTCCCGGGCGACGCCCTTAAGATTTTTTTATTTTTTTTTTTATTTTCGCACGTACCTTCCCAGGATTATTCTAAACAACTTCCCAACGTTTCATGGCGATAGGATGAAAGGTGTAGCAATGCATAAAATACATTCAGACAGACACACAAACATGCATACATTGCTTTATATGAAATAGATAAAACATCTGCTAATATTAATTTTCAGCAATATTTCTAATTATATTACAATTTTAGATGCATATAAATGATTTGTATCATTCGGATCAATAATTTAATGATACTGTTAAATAAATCTATTGAACTGTAGTTAAAATTAAGATTTTTCCAAACTTTCAAAAACAAAATTAAAAATACTATTTACATGTTACTTATTATTCTTAAAACCAATGATATAATTTGACATAACAGACAGTTAAGATTGATTTGAAGACAACAATTTTAATAGAAAATAGTTCAAATGTTTAGTGTGCTTCAGGTGAAATAATCGCTGGCTATTTTTTATAAACTTATCTCCTAATCGATTTTTAATGTGCATTAGTTATTAGCCTTTACTTTTTTGTTTTGTTTTTAAATCTCATAAGTATCTTCTGGGACCTCACATATATAACCATATAAGAAATCGTTTGTTGTAAAAGAACATTGCAAATCATTCATTAACCAAGCAGTTGAGTTTAAACATAAACAGTTTTGTAAATTTCCGCTATCTGGACCACCTGGATACCACCTGAAATAAGTGACAGCAGTTTGACTGTGTCTGTTTATCCAAACGTTTTCATGACCCTCATCAGTAGCACCAATCATAGCATACATGTCATTTACATTGTTTAGCAGATGTTCTTTGATAAAATTGTGTTCAGCTTCAGAATCTATTTCAGCCAAATAGCCACCAAATATGTTACAATCAGCAGCTGAATCATCAATCACAAGTGAGTTATATTTTCTAGAAAGCAAATATCGCCTCCCGTTGAAGACTGGTGAAATTTTATACAGATTTTTTCTTGCCATCTCTAGCCGTTGGCTCCATGAGTCGACTCGCGACTTTAATTTAGTTTCCTCTCTGGTCAGATTGTCCAATTTATCGGTAAGATGCTCAATCAGAGACGTCAATGTCTGGATTTGTCCGGATAAAGTTTCAATATCAGGGTGTGTTGATGAAACAAATGTTGTCAAGTTGACATAAACAGGATGTCCTGTGTGGTCTACGCCGTGGGCTTCGCACTGATATACACCAGACTTTTTTGCGTCCGGGTATTCCCAAAGTAGTTTGATGTATGACTCCCCGTTGTTGTCAATTTTGCCAGAAGCTGTTATGTTAATCTCTGATACCTCCTTTATCTGGACTTCTGGTGTAAACATTGACAGTGACGCCAGGTCTTTGAAAGACGTGCCCTGTGGGTTTGTTGATCTCGTGATAATTAAAGAGATTAGACCTTCCATGCTGGATTCGTCTCCCCTTGTTATTGAACATTTCACATCGAGATATCTTGTTACACCAACAACTACATTGCTGGGGGTGGCTTCGATATGAATAGCAGATGCTAAATAATAAAAATACAAAATTTAATGAAATTTTAATACAATATAAATAAATAAATAAATAAATAAATAAATATATATATATATATATATATATATATATATATATATATATATATATATATATATATATATATATATATATATATATATATATATATATATATATATATATATATATGAACATTTTCATGTAAGTTCGGATACCGAACTCGAGTTGGACATTCCTGCGTGAATTTTTAATAGGTACCTGACTAACGTCATGCAAGGATTACACGTGTGTGCTGGCCACACCATCTCTACAAATGATGAGGTCAAAAGGTAACTCCCCCCTTCCCCCCCCCCCCCCCCCCCGCCACGGCGATTGCTTTAAACTGTGCTCTGATATAATACTACTGATTTTAATCTATAGTCGGTTATAAATACAGCTTGATGTTGCATGCTTTCTCTATCATTAGCAGGCTAACGTCTTAGTGTCATTCCCCCCCCCCCCTTTCCCCCTTTACCCTTGTCTGTATTTGTCTAATTCGCTCTTAAAAGACTACACTCTGATTAATCAATTAATTAATTGGAATTATCCTTTTTCTGTAAATATTTCTGAAAACATAATAATTACTCACCTGAAACAAGAGCACTTACGAATACAAGAAGAAATAGAATAGCTTTTAACATTCTCAATTTGTTAACCAATGCAAGAAGATGTGTTGTCTTTTTATTTTCAACTTCTCACTGTTATTACTGATGGTATATTGGACTTTATTCATTGTTCGTGTCTTTTTATCATACCCAGTGATAACACAAAAATTTCAGTAATTTTTAACGACAAGATAACGCTGGTAGTACATATTGCATTACGAGAAAGTACAGAACATAATGTTGTTGTTTGTACACCATAGATGTGTATTGTATAAAAGTTGATAGCAGACATTGTATGTACTGCTTACCAGATGTTGTTACATTAGATACGTGTTACACAGATTCTATCTCTCAGCCAATCTTTAAAGCTCCAGAACTCTAGAGTCTGCCCTGATCACTCTACAGAAAGATTTGTTAACACAAGGCGAGGTGTAACAACAAATGAGCACTCCATGAGTTTTTGTTTTGACCACTCTACAGAAAGATTTGTCAACACAAGGCGAGGTGTAATAACAAATGAGCACTCCATGAGTTTTTGTTTTGACCACTCTACAGAAAGATTTGTCAACACAAGGCGAGGTGTAACAACAAATGAGCACTCCATGAGTTTTTGTTTTGACCACTCTACAGAAAGATTTGTCAACACAAGGCGAGGTGTAACAACAAATGAGCACTCCATGAGTTTTTGTTTTGACCACTCTACAGAAAGATTTGTCAACACAAGGCGAGGTGTAACAACAAATGAGCACTCCATGAGTTTTTGTTTTGACCACTCTACAGAAAGATTTGTCAACACAAGGCGAGGTGTAACAACAAATGAGCACTCCATGAGTCCCATCAACTCACTTTATGACCTGCCTTTAGACGCCACTCTTAGTAATCCGATACTGAGAGTGAAATATTTTCGGCATTGCACTGAGCACGATTTCTACAAACTTTATCTCCAAGATCATGAATATTTCTAAGATAGTCTTTCGTTGTCATTATGCAGAAACTGACATTGCGTTACTGTCTAGGGCCAAAAAATGGGTTATAATTTTCTAAATCGTCCACTAAACCTACTCTACATGGACGCTTGTGGTGTGGTGGTGTAGATTTCGTGAGCATTTTTTTCAATAAAATAATTTGTCATTTCACCTCACTAGTGAGTTTTTTTCCCCTCTGAAATTGTGAATCGAGTTTTAATTCTTATCAATGTTTTAATTAGATTAATTCATAATAAAAAAATAAATAGAATTAAAAAAAATAAGCAAACATGTTATTCTTTAAATGCTATATTTATTAAAACAATTATTAACAACATTTTTACATTATTACATGATACTATATTCGCTATTGTTCATTCTTTTTCACAATTTTACCTTGATACATATCACACTAAATACATATAAATGGTACCTTGTATCTCTAATATTTTATTCATTACACAAAAAACATGGTTATAATTAATTATCGTTTTGCGATTAGGACTATTTTTTTATCATACCAGGCAAAGCTATGATATGCTTTATTACAAAAAAAAATATTCTATTGACTAATTTTAATAGTTTTGTTTTAATTAAAATCGAACCTAGGCTTTTTAAGTAGGCATTAAAGCATAGCATATCACAATCTTGATGTATCGTTTGTATTTCATTTTGACTGCATGAAACTTTAAAACTTTGCTATTAAAACAACAACGCAAGAAATATGATCTTTGAGTCGTGTAATCGGGGGCTCCCGAGAGCGCCCCTCTAAGTCCCTGACCCATGGGCGGTCACCGAAGTGTGTTCTACCTCACTATTTCGTTGAGTGATTAATGTACACTCAATGATTTAATGCGGTAGTAAACCCGAGTCCCGATATGTATAATCCAAACGTAGGCATTATTTACATTTAAATTACTCACTAGTAGAAAACAAGGTCATGCGTCTACGAATATAGGATTGATGAAACCCTTTTTGTTATTATATATTCAGACTTTCTTCTATCCCCGCTGCAAAGTGCGGGGACGGGTACGCTAGTAGGAAATACATCTGACTAAATAGTAGACAGTTGTGTTGAGACAATCCGGAACATACTGTTTTAAAAAGTTTAAAGTATTTTTCAAACAATCAAAGCATCATAAATACAAATACATTTAAGACAAACTGAGAAGAAAAAATCCACTATGTTTTTTAACAATAAATGATAGACTGTTATGTTATAGTATCTGAGTCTGACATTGTTGCATATATAATGAAACAAAATAGCACAATCCTTAAGTAATAAGTACGTTAGTGAAAAAATAAATACTTGACTACTACCTTGCAAACACTTATCTAACTAAAATGTTATTAATGCATCAAACAATGTATTTAAATCTCTAGGGGTTGGCACGCTGCTGATTAGCAAAAAAAAAAAAATACTTATAGACTAACTAAAATTTTTTTTTTTCTATTGTTAGTATAACAGTGATAATAACTCGGTCATTTGTTTTTAAACATCGCCTGAACTCAAATGGCACTAACATAAAAGAGAAAATCGTATTATGTTTATGATAATAAAAAGTAATAACATTTTGTTATCTAGAAATGATTAAACAACTCGCTTTCAAATAAAATAAAATATATATTTTGTTTTGAAAAGGATTTATTTTGCTAACTGTTAGCGGCTGTATACTATACATTTCAAGACTTGAGGAACTTCAACTTATACATTGTTAAATCTTATGTTTAATGACGATGATTTATTTTACAAATGTTATCATTCCACAGGCTAAGTGTCTAAAACAAGATGTAAAAAGTCTTTAAAACGTAGGCGTTTTACGTCACATTGTGTTACACGATGTGTGTAATTGTAAAACTTTCTTCTCACAAGGATTCTAAACGTTATGGTTTCCTGTACATTTCTTGAATGGTTAGGTTTATGAATTACTCTACTTTTCTTGAAGGTTTGTACATCTAAAAGCAATTAAAAGAGTACATACAATATAAATCCGATTTCTGCCTCTTTATCATTAAACCTGGAATGACGTGGTCTAGAAGTAGACTGCTCGCTTGTTAACCCGATAGTCACAAGTGAGTAACTTTGGCTCGAGAAAGTATAAAAATCATATTGGCCGTAGTCTAATGGCCAATGATTTCATTAAACCATTCGGGCCGTAGTCTAATGGCCAATGATTTCATTAAACCACTCGGGCCGTAGTCTAATGGCCAATGATTTCATTAAACCATTCGGGCCGTAGTCTAATGGCCAATGATTTCATTAAACCATTCGGGCCGTAGTATAATGGCCAATGATTTCATTAAACCATTTTGGCCGTAGTCTAATGGCCAATGATTTCATTAAACAATTCGGGCCGTAGTCCAATCGCCAATGATTTCATTAAACCATTCGGGCCGTAGTCCAATGGCCAATGATTTCATTAAACCATTTGGGCCGTAGTCTAATGGCCAATGATTTCATTAAACCATTTTGGCCGTAGTCCAATGGCCAATGATTTCATTAATTATTCGGGCCGTAGTCTAATGGCCAATTATTTCATTAAACCATTCGGGCCGTAGTCTAATGGCCAATGATTTCATTAAAACATTTGGGCCGTAGTCCAATGGCCAATGATTTCATTATACCATTCGGGCCGTAGTCTAATGGCCAATGATTTCATTAAACCATTCGGGCCGTAGTCCAATGGCCGATGATTTCATTAAACCATTTGGGCCGTAGTCTAATGGCCAATGATTTCATTAAACCATTTTGGCCGTAGTCCAATGGCCAATGATTTTATTAAAACATTCGGGCCGTAGTCTAATGGCCAATGATTTCATTAAACCATTCGGGCCGTAGTCTAATGGCCAATGATTTCATTAAACAATTCGGGCCGTTGTCTAATGGCCAATGATTTCATTAAACCATTCGGGCCGTAGTCTAATGGCCAATGATTTCATTAAACCAATACGGGCCGTAGTCCAATGGCCAATGATTTCATTAAACCATTTGGGCCGTAGTCCTATGGCCAATGATTTCATTAAACCATTTGGGCCGTAGTCCAATGGCCAATGATTTCATTAAACCATTCGGGCCGTAGTGTAATAGCCAATGATTTCATTAAACAATTCGGGCCGTAGTCTAATGGCCAATGATTTCATTAAACCATTCGGGCCCTAGTCTAATGGCCAATGATTTCATTAAACCACTCGGGCCGTAGTCTAATGGCCAATGATTTCATTAAACCATTCGGGCCGTGGTCTAATGGCCAATGATTTAATTCAACAATTCGGGCCATAGTCTAATGGCCATTGATTTCATTAAACCATTCGGGCCGTAGTCTAATTATTAAACCATTCGGGCCGTAGTCTAATGGCCAATGATTTCATTCAACAATTCGGGCCGTAGTCTAATGGCCAATGATTTCATTCAACAATTCGGGCCGTAGTCTAATGGCCAATGATTTCATTCAACAATTCGGGCCGTAGTCTAATGGCCTAAGATGTTATTAAACAAGTTGTGCCGTGCTCCTACTGCCTATGCTTTTATTAAAACATTTGGACCGTAGTCTGGTTGCGAAGTTGTTTTTTCCCAATTTATTCTTGAAGTGCAACAAAAATTGCGAATTTACTTGAAAACGGAATTAAATTGAGATGGCAATGCTGTTAAACTGAAGTTTCCCGTGTCTTCAGATTGTTTTTTTAAAGTTCTAACACTTTACTAGATACAATAATGTCAGTTTATAATTAAGTTTATTTTATTTTGAAAACAAAATAGTATTTGTAGTATTTCAACTATTATATAATCATTTTTAAAATCTATAATACCCATGTTTTCTATTTATTTTTGCCGCTATCGAAGTAATTGATTTTTTTTTTTTTAAAGAAAAGTTTTCTCCCCTGGCAAATAAAATGTGCACTATTTTGCACATGTATTTTATCATTTTGTTTAATGGGGGAAGAGCCAGCAAGTCTATACACACATTCATTTATAGTATAGTATTTATAATTAAGGAGCAAAAGAAACAGTATACGCATTATTATCTATAAATTGAAATAAATAATTCGACTCAAAACCCATATATATATATA